AATGTACTTCCCATCTCACCCGAAACCTGAATATTGCTTCTTCTTTGTCTCTTCAGAAGCATATGATTGAAAAAATAAACTGAATGTATGCATGAGATTATTTTTTATGCTTGGAAACGAGAAATGTTGATCCTCTTTCGAATGAAAAAATGCCGAGCATCCTTGAACTTGGGCATTTTTCCAACATGTACTCGCTCTCTGCAGACTGCAATATTTTTCATTTATGAAAATTCGCTTACGTCTTTGTTGCATGGTTCAAGTCCTCGGGTATACTTATCTCGAGGCTTGATGGATTTTCTGGAGACCCGGACTCGCACATCTCTCCAGCTAATTTACGTCAACTCATTCATCACCTAGACGCAATTAACACGTAAAATATGTCCAATTACTTTCGGTTTAAAAAAAAAAGAAAATGCATTCTTCCACTAAATATTTTCACTGAGTTCAAACTCTGGTCGCGAGACTCACGTGAAACTTTAAAAATAAAGTTACAGTTCTCCGGTTTACTGAAAACAAAGTCAGTGAATTACCAGGTTATTCTGCGAAGAAAAAATTAGTGATTTTTTTCAGTGAAAATTTGGAAAAAAAGTAACGTCAGTATTCATTTATTGAAAGTTTTCACTTCATGGCATCTCTGGCTATTTTCATTTTTGATACTCAAAATGTATGTCACATGCATTTTTCCGAAATTATAATACAACTTCAAAAAGTTAAGAAGGAGACCTTTACGTTGAATAAAAATGAAATGAGAGCTGAAAAGTTCGACGAAATTTATTTTTAATGAAGATTAGAAAAAACTGTGAGCGGAGTTTTTTCACAGGGATTCTTTGTTGTGAATTGGTTTACGTATGTCACACTCACAGAGTTCCAAGTTTTATAATCTCACACGTGACACGAAATAAAAATAGGGTGGCAACATTTTAGTTTATTTTCTGCACAGGAAATGAAAGACCTTCTTATTCTTCACTACGAATACGCGAATCCGTTTAAATGTCTTTTGTTTCTCTTGGTTCCGCGTTTTAACGCTGAAGAGTTTTCCGTTGTTTCGCCAGGAAGCATCGCGACCTGTTTTTGTTTTTGTGTGGTTATTTTGCGCGTGTTTCGTTTTTGCGTGAGTTTCAAGTGTTCATTTCTCAAGCTGTCTGTCTAATTGCATTTTTTTCTTCTTTTGTTTTGAACATTCTTTGTTTCGACTTGACCCCGGGGATTTTGTGCTTTTCGCGAACTTCGCGTGTGTCGTTTTGGCGAAGTTTAGTGACGGCGCGTGGCGTCGGATCATTAGCACGATGGCGGTTTTGGCGCTGTCCTGGCTTTTCGTGTCTGCCGTGATCGGTGCAGAGGCGACGAGGGACCAGCGAAATGAACATAAGGTAAGAGCTGAGGATAGACTCGGCAAATGTTGCACTTTTTTCTTTAAATTCTGTAGATAGTGTTTCAATCGACGATGACAGACTGTCTGAAACGGGACGTTAATGCAGCTTGTCTCCAACCGCGACAGTGTTCTCAGCTTTGGCAGATCAGTTATGAAAGTATTCAAGGGCGAGGATCAGGAGAAAGACAGCAATAATAATTCAACTATTCGATCGACAAGTTTATTTTTTGGTACGAGATCATGCTGTGTTCTGTGGGATGATTTTTTTAGAAAATAGTTTACAGTATTTTCCGAAAAAAAATAATGATCCAATGCCTCGCTAATATTTAAAACGAAACAAAAGTTTAATGAAAGTCCTCACTTGAAGTAGATTTTTCTCTCAAAGAACCTTTGTTTAAACTTAGTTTCAGCCGAGATGTCAGAAACCCCGTAACTTTCCAAGCATCAGACTTCGGAAGACCTGAAATAAAAATACTTACGGATTTTTCCACTCAAAGAAATCAGTCTGAAAATTTAATTTGCGGAAATGAGCCTCGGATTGAATGTAACCTCCTTTTCAATGAAGCCCAAGATTTCTGCAGGGTGATGCCCTTTGAACAGGAAATTCCAGAAGAAGGAATTCCAGAAATAAAGGTATAGTACTTCGCATTTTGATGCGATCTGTTAAAAGCTATGGAGATGATGAATAATTTCACAGTTAATGATGGGGAGTCGGAAGAGGAAAATAAGCATTTTTGAAAGAAAGAAAAAACCTGACCTTACAGTTTCTAAATATTTTACCGTGATGAATCTGCCTTGGGAGTCCACAGAGAACTGAAATTTACATTCCAAAGGATCGATACGAAATGAGAAAACAGCCCTCAGATGTTTTCCTCAAGTTTAAAGTTTTCTATCCCACTCTGTGTCGTCGGAACTTTCGTTTTTCTCCGGAAGTATTTCGCGACACATCGTTCTCTATACTCTGTGTCTCGACAAAAATGATCCGAGATTCAGCGTTGTTCATTTGTAAAAAAAAAAATCTCTCGCAGAAAAGCAAATTATTCATCGTATTTTTCTTGGTTTTTTTTTTCATAATTTTCTTTTCTCCCTTGGGCAAAAGGTGCACAATATTGTGCTGTTTCCGGAGAAGCACGCGTGGTGCAATTTGACTCGGATCCGACAGATCGTGAGCCACCCTGGCTGTGAAA